CCTCCTCTAAATAGCCCAGAGTGCACATCTGTACTGGCTAAATGTGTCAAGCCTTCATCTGGTAGTCAGTTTACTCCATGGAAAGGACATACACTAATCATCTCTCATTTCTAAGCCTTGGGAAAGTTTTATTTTGCTTTTTTATGTTTTCACCATCTCCCTTCTGCCCAGAGGCCCTTCAGATATTTAAAGACTAGAAACAACTCATTTTTCTCTTGGAGTCAGGTGCCCAGATTGGCTGCAGGTGTGCTGGGAGCAGAAGGGTATTTTATTTCAGTAACAAAAGGGAGAATTAAACTTTGGTATCCTTAAAGCCTGGGGGACAATATTTACTGTAAATCCCATTTGCTGCCTATGTTACTCTGAAGAAAACCTTTACTGTGGATTTTCTCTGCTCAGAAGAAAAGGTGAGGCTATACATTTACCGCTATAGCAATGAGCTAGCAAGAATGAAAAAAGGGACTGTTCAGACAAGTAGTATGCAAGGGCAGGTTCTGATGCAGTACTGTGTCAACATTACTTTAGAGACAACAAGTTCATTTGGTCCAAATATTACACGTTGGCATGATCATTAAATTTCTAATCAGAGTATGGATAGAGATATTTCAGGCATGAGTTCTATGCGTTTAGTGGCTCTAATTGGTAACTCTGCAGCCGTTCTGCTTTATTACCAGTTCAGCATATGAGCTCAAAGTATGTGCTAGACAGACCTGGGCCAAGCATCTATACAGACGAATCAGGGTCCTCCCAGCCCATGCTCTCCTGTTGATAAGTTTTTTTTTTTTTCCCTGCCTATTTCCAAATCCCTATTAGAAGCCATTAAGCTCACTCCTTGCAGCCTAACTAGACAAGCACAAAGCACTGTACAGAAGGGCCACACTTTTCCTGTGCTCCTGGTGCTCTGAATTCTAAAAGCATTGTCTAAATAGCAAAGCTATCTGAAGTTTGCCTTCTGACTCTAAGGTAGGCTATTCCAGCAGGTCACTGGCATGGGCTCACAGCAAAATAAGAAACTGGGAGATAGATGTGATCACAAAAAAAAAAAAAGGCCTAAAAAGGAACTGAGTATATGCTTCAGGCTTAGGAGCACTTGGTGCTCTTTTAGAAAGTTTGAGTTTGATTTCCAGAAACCACGTAGTGGCTCACAACCACCTGTAGCTCCAGTCCCAGGAGATCCGTTGCCCTTCTCTGGCCTCGCATGGCACCAGGCATGCCCATGGTATACAGACATACATGCAGTCAAACACACTCATACATACAAGAAAATGAATACACTCTTTACCAAAGAGGTCTAAAGATAGAAAGAGTCAAGGAAAGGAGGAAGTGTGGGGAAAACAACTAGTTACACTTAAAAAAATACGGAGTTGGTTTTCTCTGATGGAAAAACAGCATGGCCGACAGCAATGTTTTCATTTAAAAAGTGATTTAACTACAGAGATCTGGGGCTGGGGAGATGGCCCATCTGTTCAGAACACTTGTTGCTTTTGCAGAGCACTGGATTTGGGCTTCCAGGATGCACATCAGGGAGTTCACAGCTCCATGAGAGCCTGCATACACGGGCGCATACACACAAACACGGGCATACACATAAATAGAAATACATTTCAAATTGCAATCATTATGAAGATTTTTCTGCTAGTAATTCAACCCAGAAAGGTATAAATTTATCAACCCACAAACTGATCTTTCAAAATAGAGCAGATTCGTGACTCAATGAAGGTACTCAATGGAACCTTTACAATCCTATCTAACTCCTTTACATATTTCAGCACTCAGAGATTACTGTATCGGATACAGTAATACAAGTCCCCAATGTAGTTCTGTGATTAATATTACTGAGGTTAAGAAACAGGTCTAAGTACTTAAAATACCCCCAAATTATCCGAATTCTAATTATACATGCTATAGGCGAGAAAGCTTCCCTGACTATAGCTACATTTTACCTCCCCGAGTAGCAAGTGAGATTGTCTCACTCCTTGGACACCATGGCCTTTTACAGAAGGTCCATCATCGTAGCCTCCTCATTATTAGTAGTGAAAAGACCCAGGTCAGACCTTGACCTGTGATAGGCCTTAATAAATAGTTGTTAATTCTTGTAAATATGATTAGGCAGAGAAACACGCTGTTGCCTAGCTCCATACTTTTAGATTTATTTTCATTTTGGGTAACTGCAGTATGTGGAAACAATTGCCAATATGACTGAATCAGGAAGCCCGGCCTTTAAGATGATTAGGCCATGAAGGTCCTCAGGAATGTGGAAATGCCTTAGACAGTAGCCTTCACTCAGCATCCACTCCTCTTTGTCCTCTGTCTCCTTTGACAGTTTTTCACCTCATAGGGACAGTGATGTAAGCACTGTTTTAGAGTCAGAGAGATCAGCTTAACAGATACACCTGATGGGTCAGTGCTTTGATTTTGGATTTCTTAGGCTCCAAAACCGTCAGGACTGTTTGTTCTCTATAAAGGGCCCAGTCACAGGTAATATGGTAGCATGGGCAGAAAAAGATATTCTCTAAAAGCAATGTATGGGATGGGAAGGGCACAGAGGGAGAGGAAAGACATGAAGGGCCCTTTGGAGACAGGCTACCCAGAAAACAGGTATTGCCCCAATAGAGAAGGAAAAGTAGTACTTCAAGAGACAAGGGAGGGGCATTAAAAAATGGAAGTAAAGAAAGAGAAGCATGAACCACATTGTTGATATGGTAGCAACTCAGGAAAAGGAAAAAGCTGGGCCTCTGGAGGTGTGGGCAGAAACCGTTGCCAACAGTTAAGAACACCATACTGGCTGCCAGCATTACCAGTCCTGATACACGTTCCAGTGTGGATGCACCTTGAACATGTTATGTAACTGGCATGAGCCAGTCATGAAAGGGAAAATACTGTGTCATTGCTCATGTGTCAGTTAGGAGAGCAGAACATTTGGTTTTGATGGGGAGGGTGGAGAATGGGAAATGATCACTTAGTTTCCAAATGAGTTTCCATCTGAGATGGTGAATATTCCAGGGAGGGTGCCTGGTAAAGGTTGCACATCCAAGGATTAAAACGATAAACTGTTGTTTTTTGTCACAGCTAAAAAAAAAAAAAAAAAAAAAAAAAAAAAAAAAAAAAAAAAAAGAAAGAAAGAAAAGAAAAAGAAAAAAAAGAAACTTAAAATGATAGAGAATTTGGGGGGATCATTCAAAAACTTTCTAATCACTAAAAGTAGGAATGTAATTTCCTTGCTTACAGTGTTGTTCTTTGGTTCTGGGATGGCACCCTTCGAAGAAAACAGTACTAGATTTACACAACAGAGGCAGTGAGAGGAAGGTGCAGAGAGATCATCTAATATGTCCAAGAGCACAGGGAATGTTTCAAAGAGACCTCGAACTGGAACAAACGTTTTAGAAACCAATCACCTTGCACTTTTTTTTTTTTTTTTTTTTTTTTTTTAACCAGTTCACGATTGGCTTCACCTTTCACCCACCCACCCTTGCTTTTTCTGGATCTACCAACTCAAACAACAAAAAAGAATTCCCTCCTATATCTGCCAAGAAGGGCTGTGTGAGAAGTCTCAGGTTTTGCAGGATGTATCAGATGTGTGAGAAGTCTCAGGTTTTGCAGAATGAAATCTTTGTTTACTGTTGAACCACATTTGATATTTTTTGGTGAACCCTGACCCCCTGCAAGAGAAACCAAAAAGAGCATTCAAGATAACTGAGGATGCAGCAGGGCATCACTTCACAAGATAGAGAGCAGTGAGGGACCTCCGGGCCTGCAGCCACGGCTCCCGCATAGCCGCTTGCTCCCCGCGGGGGTGGGGGGTGGGGGGGGAGAACCCCAGCGCACCATCGTGCGCAGGCGCAGCACTGTGCTCAGCCGCCCCGGCTCAGTGGTCCCCGGCTGCCGTCCCGGCTGCTCCCTGAGCCCCTGCCCGGTCCCCAGCTCCTCTCCAGCACCAGCCCCTCC